AGAGACAATAAATGGCTGAAACCCAGGAATTAATTTTGATTTGGATTCTGAATAATTTAATTCTGTTCATCTGATGAGAGCGACGAATTTAGTAAAACTATCGTTTTTATTGTCTTTTCACCTGATGCCTTTGTCCATTTCCACAAAAGCAACCATTTTTGCCCAATTTCTGTTTGAGTTAGTTGCGAATGTCTCCGTTTTAACCCCCCTGTATATTTATTGTAGAAATAGTACAAGCAAGCGCGGATTCAAATGAAAAAGGAATATTGATAGTGCGAGGTTTTTATGAGCTTTTCAGCCATCTGTAACGATTACTGAATGGAACGAATGATCCATTCACATTGGTTCCGTTCACGAATCGAAGCGAATGAAAGACGATAAACCATTCAAAAGTACCTGTATAATTTTTTTGGAATATTTTAAAGGAGCAACTGCACCAGTGGAGAAAACTTGGCAAATTTCTGCAAAAGTTCACTAATGGAAACCTCGCACTTTCACAAGATCCAGATACACTCAAAACCCTTATTTTTTGAAAAACCTTCCTGGAATCGATTGCAATGTGAGAAGGCTCAGGTGGAATCACCCTGTATATGCATATGTAAATTTGTTGTTCTGTTCTTGCCATTCTCAGTTGTGTCGTTCTTCCTTGTTGCGTACACGTTTTTTTATTAATATTGCCTTCACTTCTACAGGGTGTTCTGATTAGATTTACTTTGTTCAAAATCCTCATACTTTCGCTTGTCGCTTTTAAGTGAAAATTGTGGGTTTTGCCCTCAAATCGTAAAAAAATGTTTTGTTTTTTTAACATAAAACCCGCAACTTGGTCAGTGATAGGTGAGCTTTTAACGCACTTTTTTGTTTCATTTGCGCTTTTCAATTTTGGCAAAATTTCCCTTATCCCCGGCCTGTTCCGTGTCTAAAGCCGCACAATTTCGAGGGCGAAGAGGAAAGTGTTCGTAGGGCTGTTCCGAGGGCGATCCGATGTTGAAGGTACGAGATATACGGCTTTCATAATGCCTTCGAGTCGGCCAGATGTTTTGCGGCAAAGTATATTGGAAAATGAAACTAACTTCGACGAATCGGCAATTCACTAGATGAAGGGTGAATGTTTTTTTACCTGCCAATATCCGAATCGGTAGGCAAATATTTGCCCTCGCAATACAACTGCATTAAGCTATTAACAGATCTCGGCTGAAATGTCATTGGGCATTACACGTTTGTTTAATTAAACTACGTGTGTTTTAGTTTCGGTAAAC